CCTTTATAACATTTGAAACTCTTACCAATGACTCATTGTTTTAAAATGTGAATAGGCATTTGGAGATACTCTGAAGAAACTCTCACTGGCCGAATATGGGACAACTCGGGCACCAAAATGAATACCAGCAGGAATACATTATAACCCATCAAATAAAATTAAGGTTCGATGACTCCATATTGATATGAATTAAATGGAGAAATAAAAAAGGAAGATGAGAAAGTTATCCATGACAGTAGAATGTCAGTGAGTAAATGCAGAAGGAATAAAGGAGTTTCAAAATCACCATTTACAACCATTATAATAAAATTTGATCAAGTAAATATCATCAATGAATGCTATAACTATTGGTTGGAAGTTTGATGGGGAACAGAATATTTATATACTTCAAAATATTTCCCTAATAATTGTTTATTTGTTTCAAAAGGAAAATGTTAACTTTATTGTGGAGAAACATGAGAACATACTCTTGATCATAGGATCAAAGTTATCATTAATAATGGACAAACTGGAACATATCTCCTGAAGTCATACACTGAAGGGACACATTATTTATGTGTTTCTGTTAAAATGCAAAACCTGAATATAATCATGGGGAAACATCAGATAAACTCAGACTAAGAAATACTCCACATAATGACTGGCCAGCTGTCTTCAAAAAATGTTAGAGCCATCTAATATAAAGATGGTCTGAGTAAGTATTTCAGATCTAAATAAATTAAGGACACCTGATATCTAAATACAATGTCTGGACATGTATAAAAATTGCTCTATAAGATATTATCAGAAAATGGCAACATTTGGATATAGTGTGTATATTAGGTAATAATATTGTGTCAACATTTAATTTAATTGATATCTGTACTGTGGATATACAAGAAAATGTCCTTAGTCTTAGGACATTAGTCTATCTCTATCCATGTCATCTCCCTAGAAAGAGAGAGAAACCAGGTGTGGCCAAATGTTGAATTTAGGTGAAGAATATGTGACAAAAGGAATTCTTTTATTCTTGTAACTATTCTGTAAGTTTGAAATATTTTCAAAAATAAAAAGTTTAAAAATAAAAGGACTTAGGATTGAAAAAGTATTTTTTCTTTGGTGTGTTAAAAGAAAAATCTAGACAAATTAAATTTAACAGATTTTAATTCATCAGAGAGTAATTCATGAATTGGGCAGCTGCCAGACCAGCACAGGTTCAGAGCAACTCCTTGGCTGCCATTTGGTAGAATAACTTTTATGGATAGAAAAAGGAAAGTGATTTGAGTAATTGCAACTGCAACCATATGACATTCTATTAAATATCTGAAGAGCAAGATGAAGAATTGAACTAATGCCCATCAACGATAGACTGGATAGAGAAGATGTGGCACATATACACCATGGAATACTATTCAGCCATTAAAAAGGATGAGTTCACGTCCTTTGCAGGGACATGGATGAAGCTGGAAACCATCATTCTCAGCAAACTAACACAAGAACAGAAAACAAAACACCACATTTCCCACTCATAAGTGGGAGTTGAACAATGAGAACACATGGACACAGGGAAGGAAACACCACACACGTGTCAGGGGTGAGGGGCTAGGGCTAAAGGAGGAATAGCATTAGGAGAAATACCTAATGTAGATGATGGGCTCATGGGTGCAACAGAACAGCATGGCACGTGCATACCTATGTGACAAACCTGCACGTTCTGCACATGTGCCTCAGAACTTAAAGTATAAAAAATAAAAGAATTTTAAATAAAAAATAAAAAATGTGATCACACACCTCAATTATTAAAGGCAGCCTTAATCTTAAAAAAAAAAAAAAAGAAAGAAAAGAAAAATGAAAAGGAAAGTGATGTCCAGAAAACTAAAATGAGGGACAGAAATCACTGGGTTGGTTACAGCTCAATGTTTGCCTTAGTTGAACATGGTTTAAACAGTTGGCCAACTTTGATTGGCCAAAACTGGGCTGCTGTAGACTTGGATAGTTGCTGGAAAAGTAGGTTACAGTTTGCTTACACATCCAGTTAGGTTCCAGTTTACTATGCATGGAGAAACCTTTATAGCCAAACCTAAAATATGTAAAGAGGTAGCTTTAGGTTAAACTTAATTTAACAATTTTTAGTATAATATGAGTGAGGAGTTTGGGACTTTTGGAGGAAATGCTGAAATATATAATAAAATTTACTTTGTGGGAGCGTCTACTATAAAAACCCTTTAAAAATATTTTTAACACAGTAAATCTTTTATCTCCTTGGATCTCTGAAAATAAAGAACTTCTGGCAAAGTGGCTGACTGAGTTGATACTGACAGACCCATTTCCTGGTACAAGCAAGCATAAATGCTTCAAAAATTACAAAAAAAAATTCAATCATGTAGTTGAACTTGAGAAAAGTAGAGAAAAATTCTCATTTTTCAGAAATCAAGAGGGAACTCAAACGGCAAACACTAGCTGATGTCCTGTGGCCTGTGGGAAAATTTGGCTTCTAGTTACATGCCCTCAGAATTGGAGGCTGGTGGTTAAAACTCAGGCAGGTACAAGAAATGGGACCTGAAATTGTCACAAGGCAGGATCTAGGAAGTAAGACCCTTATATGAAGTTCACATTCTTAAGAATGCTGTTTGGGCAAATTGTTCTCATGATGCCAAGATCCGTTTTGATGTCCAAAGAGAAGGACGTAAACTTAAAATTTACATTCTGAAAGCATTCTTGTGCATAAGATGCTGACAAAAAAACCTTAGTCTGCCCACAGGAATTTTATGTGGTAATAAAGTCATGAAAAACTAAACCATGCAGTATCACCAAGCTTTCTAATTCACACTGTACGCATAATGAAGGTATCTCAAGGTGGGAGACTGCTGATACTAAATAGTACATGTCCTTGAAATAATCAGAAACAAAAGCAAAAGGAATAATACACAGAAGGAATCCCTGCCTCCCAAAAGAAAAAACTCAAAATCAGAAAACACTAAGCACAAGGGGAAATAAACCTCTAAGAAACCACACACAAACTGTATAGGATGCCCACAGGCGTCAATTTCTGCATAAGATAAATACAGAGGCAAATATTACAAAATGTGTAAGAAAATAATTTATCACGAGTATTATAGTAGATATAGGAAAAGGGAATATAACCCCCAGGAATTGAGATAACTGAAGATTCTGAAGGAGACTATATATAAATGGGTTTAAAAGGTAAACAAAAAATGGAAAATGGGGAGTGGGGAAGGGGAGGGAGGGCATTAGGACAAATACCTAATGCATGCTGGCTTAAAACCTAGATGACAGGTTGATGGGTGCGGCAAACCACCATAGCACATGTATACCTATGTAAAAAACCTGCATGTTCTGCACATGTATCCCAGAACTTAAAGAATAATAAATAAAAATTTAAGAAATGGAAATCATAATGAAGAAATGGAATATAGAAAATGACTGATTTGGAAAAGAACAACGTAGAATTACTCTTTGTTGGGATCATCATTTCTATCACTTTGCATTAATGTGTCAATTTCCTGCCTTTTTTT